AAAGGGGTTCGAAGGATAACTGCTGTCACTACTGAGACTGCTTTGAAGGCGATGGAATTGGGTGGCCAGCTTTTGAAGGAAGTAGATGATGCATCCAAGATGGAAGTGAGCTTGTTGGAGAAGGTTTATATTCTTACTTGGGCTATATAAGACTTCAATTCTTGAAACTTCTTGTTATAATTGGCTTTATAGTTTATTGTTTTCGTTTTAAGTAGCTACTTTACTCTTAAATTTTTCTGCTTCAAGGTGAGTCCGGTGGTTTTTGTCTTCACGAATCTTAAATGTTGTGTTCCCACATCATGTTTCTTGGATATTAGTTCCCAGTTTTTTTTGTTAAAATACTATTCTCTCCTTATCACGCAGTGAAATTTGTATTGGTTTTTCAGGTAACAGATTAGTGGATATACATCTCCTACTTCAGAATTCTTACACTTATGTGCAATTGTTATGGTCATCTTTTATATAAAACCTACCTAAACTGTAATAGTGGATAAAATGCTTGGTTTCTCATTTTTTTTTGTTCCGTTTCGAATGGTGATAGATATCATACAATTTAAGAGGCCTCTATCAATTTAAACAAAAAACATTGTAGGAGTATACTACTATATTTGCCTTCATCTTACCTTTTCACCCCCTCCTGCCTTATTGAAAATTTTCTTTGCATCTCTACAGAAAGTGGCGTCTCTGAAAACTAGCGTGGATTCTGCATCAATTCCTGCTGCCCAGAAGGCTGATATTAGGGCCAAAATTGCACAACTTCAGGTATCATAGCTATCTACGATCAGTATAAGATTTTGCAGCTTTATTATCACCTATGTTACCCTAGCTCAACATTTTCCCAAATGCCCTTATCTTAGACCCATATTAGATGCTTTAAAGGAGAGAAGAGGACATGGAAGCTCTTTTTTTGTCTTAGTTATTGATCTTAGATCCCCCTTTTAAATTGGTTTGTTTTATCAGAATCAACTCAGAAAGGCACAAAAGAAGATTGCCGAGCAAAATATGCAGAAAGCTGTCGCCACAGCAACTGAATTGGCTGAAGTTGCTGCCATAGAGGGAAAGACTTTCTGCGTCACTCGTATTGATGTCGGTTTAGACCCAGCTGCTCTTCGTGAAGCAGTTTCGAAAGTCATTCAACAGAAGGTTTCTAGCTAGTTCCGATCCTTTTTTTTATCAAAACTCACTCCATCCTTTTTTTAAATCAAAACTCGCTCCATCATTTGTGCTAAATGTCTTCATTTAATAAACAGGGGATGGCGGTTATGGTTTTCAGTATCGATGAAACTACAAACAAGGCTGTCGTTTATGCTGGTGTTCCTGATAAATCTGAACAGAGCAAGCTGTTGGAAGTATCAGAGTGGTTGACAAATGCACTAGGGCCTCTTAAGGGGAGGTGTGGCAAAGGGAAGGGTGGCCTTGCTACCGGACAGGTTGGTAACTCGGTTACCTGCAATTTTGTCATGAATTCGAGTTTTGCTCGCACCCCACTGTTTTTAAATGTGGCTTATGTTTCTTCAATTTCAGGGAACCGATGTATCGCACGTTAACGAGGCCATGGACTTGGCAACATCATTTGCTTCAATGAAATTAAGCTGAAACAATTAGTGTATGCGACTTCCATCTATGCCATGGAAGAAGCATTGGTGCCTTTGTTTCGAGAAAGGTAATGGTACTGATTGTTGAAAAACTTCCCCGGTCACCAAAACCAAAACCCGAACATTTGGGTTCGTAATATTATTTTACATATATTATATTTTATATAAATAAATATGATACTTATGAACATTATTTAAAATTATAAGTTTGATATACTAATTATATTAATTATATGTTAAATTTATTTTTTTCTTTTAACTTATATAGTGTAATAATTAAAAAAATTATAATTTTTCATTCAAATATTTATAATAATAAGTTTTACTTATTAAAAAATATAAATAAAAAAGATGATATAGTAAAATATGTACTCAAATAATCTTACATTCTCTAATCAAATGATGTAATTTTACATTCTTGTTAAGTAAACTAAGAAGGATAATACAATATTTTCATGTTAATGTTGCATTTCAGTAATATTATTTTCAATGATAATTTTATATTTCGGAAAAATATATCATTAACTTTACCCTTGAAAATAAATAATTGAGAATCACCATCATCATTTCATTTCATGTTAAAATTTATATATTCGATATAATTTTAGATAAATAATATTTTGATTCATGTAAAAATAAATATTTAAATTAAAAATAAGAATTTATTAAATATTTAATCAAGTAATGATCGAACTAAATAAAGATAACACGTGTTCTTAAAATTTTTGGTCTAGTAACAATCTAGGATACAAAGACTTTCAACTATTTAATAATGAATACTTATACATCTATATGTGCAGTATTTAGGAGACCTCAAAAATAACAATAATCCCTTAATCACTAAAATCATTTAATTCATATTAAATTTTAAATTTAAATACCTAACAAATTTCTATTCTTAAATAATATAATATTTTCACCTCTATCAATACTTAATTCTAGCTCAGGTCTCTCCAAACCAAAGCCAATTGCTTTGAACACTGCCCCATGCAAATTGCTGTAAACTGACACAACATTTCAGACAGTCTAGGACGACACATACGATATAGTGAGTTTGTGGTCCCCCTTCTGTCACTCCGGATCTCTTCTTTCAAGACTCACCTCTCACGTACGAACCAAAATATTATGTTATATGAGAGTTGAACTTAACAAATTTTAAGAGAATAAAAATAAATTTTTAACAAAAAATATATATAAATGATTTTAAGATATAAAATAATTTTAAAATATAAAATAATTTAATTTTTTTATAGAGGAGGATTACTCCCACCTATCTCCTACTCGATCAATCACTATCCATCTTGTATTTGTTATTTGATGTTTAGTGACAGATCCTTAAATATTTTTTTAGATGAACACATAAATATTAATAAAATAAAATTTTTAAATTAGATTGTATAAATAAAATTTTAAAGTGAACATAATTCATAAAATAAATAACTAATAAAAGAAAATTCAAGTTTTAGAATGAACACGAAAAATTTCAAGATATACACCACTAGTAAAATAAATAATTCATCAAAGAAATTTCGGATTTCATGGTGGGCAAGTGCCCACTCTCATCAAGCTGTGGCTCCTAAGGGTGAGCATTCGATCAAGTCGAGTCAAAAGTTTTCGAGTTATTCGAGTTGACAAGTCGTATTTTACAACTCGAACTCAACTTGAAATTTTCTCGAGTCGAGTCGAGTTTAAGAAATTCGACTCATGTTATTCGAGTTTCTATATTACTTTTATTATAATTATTTATAGTATTATGACAAGGATTTATTTCAATTTTTTGACTTTCTCTAACCATATATATATATATATATATTCTTTTCACATTATAATGTTATTTAATATAAAAATACAATCTAAAATTATAAAATATATTCATAATGTTATATTTTAAAAAATATTTTGAGGGTAAAATATTGACGAGAGTATAAAATAATCAAGTAATTGATGGGAAGAAAGAATTTGCAAACAATTGCAGTCAAAAGACCAAATTGAATCAAATGCAAAGTTAAGAGACTAAATAAAAAAGGAGAGAGTACATTTTTAGTAATAAAAAAAGTAGAGATTGAAGTTACGTAGGTATTATATCATGATATATGAGTAAGTGGTTCAAATTTAGTTAAAAATGGATTTAAAATAAAATATGAAATGAAGAAATAAGTAAACCATGAAAAAATGAGAGACTAAATTGAAAAATAGAAAATTTATTATCAAAAAGAGGAATTAAATTACATATGTGTTCTACAATGTTTTAGGAGCATGTGGTTCAAATTTAGTAAAAAAATACTTAAAATGAAAGAAAATCGAAAGAACAATGAAATAAGGGACTAAATTGTAAAACGATCAAAATACTTAATCGATTTTTTTTGTTTTTCGAGTAGCTCGAAATTTCAAAATTTCAACTCGACTCGAAACTCGAAAACAGAATTGATAATTCAAGTTGACTCGAATAACTCGAAATTGAAAAAAAAATTGATTTTACGAGTCGAATCGAATCTTTCTCACCCTTTCTAGCTTCACCACTGTTGGTATTTGCTCTTCTAAATATGAAGCACCTAATGTCTAATAATACCATCATCTATTCTTTTAATCATTCCCTCGATTTTAAATTGGCTAAATTTACTCATATATATATATATATATATATATATATATTAACATTATATATAAAAATAAAACCTTTTCAATATTAATAAAATAACATCTTTTTAATATTATATAGACAAAGACTGCCGTTTGAAATATATATTTTTAATAATAATCTGTATTTATAAAATTTCGTAATTAATTAAATAATTTGAACTCAGACTAAATTTTCTTTTTAAAGAAGAATAACATTTATTTTTATCATTTCGAAATATTTTCTTTTTATTTCACATTGTGTTAATCATGTCCGATAAAGAATTCAATAAAGAATAAAATTAAAAAAAATAATAATAATCAAAGAGAAAATTTTATAAATTTTATAATAAAAACACAAAACAATAATTAGTCTTAACAACATGAGTTGGATAACTATGATACTGTTTTCTCTCCAATCACTAAATAAATTTGTTAATAGATTATATTTAAATGTTAAATAAAGTTTATATTAATTAATTATCGCCTTTTTAAGTGCTTTAAACCTTTTATTATATATTCATTGAGCGGTTGAAAATAAGATTTATACATATTTATACGTCGTCCGGTCCACGTGTTATATGTATAATAACAATATTTAAAGTGATGTATTCGGAGAGATTAGCCTAGTTAATTTGGATAATAATAACAATAATAAAAAGCAAAAGGATTCATGCATGAATAAAGTGGTAATACAAACATTAGATTCTAAAACCAATTAGAAAGATAGGAATCAGATAACACTTATTACCAAAATATTAAGTAAGCTCGAACCCAAAATCACAAACATTAGCTTCCCTTGTAAAAAACCAGTACTAAACACCCGACAAATTTAACCCACAAGAAGCTCCATTTGTACTCGAATCGAGGAAGTGCTGCTGACGGCCGAACAGATCTGCAAAAACATAAACGAACATGAACGAACAACTAAAAATGTCGTAACATGTGCGAGATGACAATGAACATTACCCTGGTGCAGCATAGAGGCACTTCCCGTAACCTACAAGTGTAAATCCGAGGATAAAATATTATTATTCGAACGTTCTATTTATTTACACCCTTTTCGATAATCGAATGAAGGGAGGCTTACTAGGGTTGTGTTTCGTTAAAGTGGCGGTTCCTCCGAAATTGCAAGAGATGTCGGAGTTTCCGTTCTGTTGGTAGTAGCTGTTGAAGGCGTAGGAGGCATGAGAAACAAGCGTGTCGGGCTCGTAGCATTCGCCCGCCTCCTGGATCGCACCGCAATCGGTCATTCCCAGCCCACACGCCCAGTCCAACGCATTCTGCAAGTCGATCTGGGAGACCCCGGCCCGTGCCACGCACCATGTTATACCGTCGAGGAAAGTCGTGTTCCCTTCCGGCGGTGAAAGGGTCGTCACCGGAATCGCCGCATCCGCCTTCTCTTCCACCGATGTTCCCGTCGTCGGAACTACAATATCAGGTTATAATATAATATTACCGATTCCAGAACAAGAAACAACAGGAGATCACGGCAAGCATTGGAAGAAACTTACCCAGAAAACAACAACAGCCCGTTGCTGCCATTAATAAGAGGGAACACTTGAGAACCAGAGCTGCCATTGTCATGGTGCAGGGTGTTTTCTTCTTCAGCTAACCTCTTTCACTTTACGACGTACCTCTAATGGCTCTGAGAAAGTTTTAAATGTCTATTGGGAAGCTTTTAATAACATGAAGTAGAGTGATGCGTGAGATCAGATGGGAGAGAGTGCTATAAATGAAGGCAGATGACATGAGATGCGAGGAATCAAGAGTTTCTTCAAAGGAAATCATCCTCTTTCTTCTCTTTATTCAGGTAGAAAACAGGGTGATGTGTGTATCAAAGAAATGCAACGATAACTTCGATGGTAAATGAATTATTATTATTTCTTAAAATTTTGAGTTCAAACAAAAAAAAATATCAAGAGTGCAGGTGTTCAATTTCAAATATTTACTCAAGATTAAAATAAAGAAAAGCTTTGTAAATGTTTAAGCATACAGAAAAAGAAAATGAAAATGACGCAGTGGGAAAATTACTGGTCTAAAAGGGAGTAAAGGTGAAAAATATCTCTATTGAAGCTATTAAGTAATTTTAATTAAAAAATTATTATCTTTTAATTCAAAAAATTATATTTATAGAATGTGTATACATTATTATTGATTAAAAAATATTTTAAATATATATTTTATATATCTTAAATTTTAAAAGTATTTTTATTTTTGTTTTATCTTATTAAATATATTTTACTTTTGTCTTAACTTATTAAATATTTTTTTATTTTAATGTAAAAATATATACTTTATCATTATTATCACTTAAAAATATATTTTTAAATATATTAATTTAAAATATATTTAAATATTTTATTATTAATTTAATATAAAAACATATAAAATAAAAAAAATCTTTTAAGTGAAGAATAAAATATATTTTTTAATTTAAAATAAGAATAAAATATATTTAATAAGTTAAAATAAAAATAAATATATTTAATAAATTAAAAAACTAAAAGATATTGTAACAATCTTTACCTTATGTATTAAAATATGTATTAAAATATGAGTTAAAGATTTCACACTATTTATTTGTAACATTTCTTGCACAAAAATTCGTAAAATTTTATTCCATTTTAAAATTTTAATTTAACAATTAAAACCAATTAAATTAATCATGTAAAATTATAAAATGATAATTTATCATCCAATTTAAATCCGATTTTAGGCAACAACTAGACAGTTCGATGTTGTTTCATAACATATATAAAAATGCCTATAGGCAATTTAAAAATTAATCAATTAGCTTTTAAAACATAATATTATAAAATACTATTCATTTATACCACCGAGCATAATTAAAACTAACCAAAATAAAACAGTTCTAATTTATTATTATAAACCATTTTAACTAATTTATAAGAGCAACCAAGCATTTATAATATACATGTCACTAAAAAATCAAAATAATCATCATAAATGCCTTGCTGATACTGTAGGTCGATACGATTTTTAAAAAGATGCTCGCGAGGCTCCTCACTTCATGTCTTTATCCTTATTTGTACCTACGCTTGAAAATCATTACACGCTAAGTAAAATTTAGTGAGTAATTTTAAATATAAAAATAATGTAAAACTTCAAACAATATAATTTACTCAATAAAACAGTTGAATTTTTCAAACCGACTTAATTAAGCCATTTTCCACATCAGTAAACCTGTAAAATCAACATCATTATCAAATCACAATAATCAATCAATATTCATTTCCATTCGATCACATTTTAGTACTTTCACATTTCAATTTCCTAGCCCAATGTATATCTAAGAGAATGCAAGGTACGTGAGTTAGACGAGTGTGTGCAACAAGCACTCTAGTTGCCATCATCAGTAGACAGTAATATGCACTCAAAAGTACCTCAAATAACTTGCACCAACAATATCGCATCAATTGTACACGAATGTACTATATCAACATCAGTAAATAGAGATCACTCCATCTCATAGCATGCCAATTGTATCTAAGTCTCTCAAAGCAACATAAAATGGACTTTACACTAAAATCATATCATTTATAATTCAAACATTTCCAATCAGTAGCATGTCCATATATCATTTATTAGAAAACAATGTATTGAGTAGTTTATACCATGATTTAAATCACAAATCCTTTCAATAAACATTATGAAAATATTTCATAATTTAATTCAAAACATTCTTAAAAATCGTACTTATCTCAAGTCGTCATCAACCAATTATAATTAAATAAATAAAATGCACTCACATTTGCCTCACTACCGAACCTTTTATAACGATCTCCTTTTATTTTTGTACTTTATCCTTCGCTTTGGATTCACTTGGATCGCAAAATTTATTGTAGTCTGGACATCATTATATAAAGAACACAATATTCAAAAAAATATATGATGGTATTATACTAACATAATATAAACCCAATAATGAAAATTCCATAAAATACAATAGATACTTAATCGATATAAAATCACTTCACTAATCCATAACAACTTCAACATTTCCAAAACAAATCTTCAATTCCATAAATATTCATTTTAATCACCAACCATTCAAATTCCATAAACTTTGCATTCTAATCACCATTCCAATCACCATGTATGAATTTTTTAGAATTCACACTAACTTTTCCAATTAATTCATAATGTCCCTTTACCATTTTATTTATTTCAAATCAAACACTAAATTTTCCAACATTGAAATAATGTAACCAATCTAATACTTTAACATTTAAAAATTTGCAATTACATCCCCAAGTTTCCTAATCCATTTGAATTAGCCACCAAACTTCCCCAAATTTTGCAACTTGATCTAAAACAATAATCTAACTTCAAATTCAGCATTTAAACATTAAATTCCAGCAATAAATATCCATAATTGAATAATTACACATCAATTTCTCATAATTTCCAAAACTTGCAAAATTGTCCTTTTTTTCTATCTCAAGGCCCCAAATAGATCCAATTCAATCTCCAAAGCATGTAGAATCAATCTAATATCAATTATAGACCATATGAATTTTTTTGAATAATTTTCCCCTTAATTTCTTCCCTTGGCCAAACATATCAAGCACACTAGGGTAAAGATTTCATTCAATTCCAATCATGGATTCAAGCTCCTATGATCAAATTCATGATATTCCAATCATTCTCACATCAAAATCAATCAAAATTCAACAATTCTCCTATAACCCTAGTCATGGAAGAAACTTGTATATTCATTTCTAATCAATTTTGTTCATCACATAAGCTTGGAAATTAATATACAACATTGTTGAGTTAATCGAATGACGAAATTGGCCAAGAGGGGGGTGAATTGGCAATAAAAATTTTGTGGAAGCTTTTGTAGAAAATTGAAAGTAATTGCACAGCGATTTACAGTGGTTCGACTTTCTCAAACAAAGTCTACGTCCACTACCTTAGCTATCCACACTAAGGATTTTCCAACAAATTCACTAATTTGTTCTTTCTTTTGAGGCCAAAGAGATAACCTTACAATTCCCTCAAGAGTATACCCCTACTCTTGAGAACACTCTTTTCTCAAAGAGAAGATTACAAATTTGCAAACTTACAAGAAAACCTCACAAGGTAAGATGTTTGCACAATTCTAGAACAAAGAAAAGAACACCCAAAGATGAATACAATTGAGCACAAAAAGTGTTCTTGAAAGCAAAATGAATATTGAATGAAAATGGGCTTTGAAATGCTCAAACTTGAGGTTTGATGCTTTCTCTTTGATTCTCTCTTGATTCTAGTTGCTTGATGTTTCTTGTTACTGATCAATGGCTTCTAAGCTTGCTTAAATACACCTTGGATCACTTCTGAACGTTGGGGATGATTAGAGAAGATATTATAGCCGTTTTAGTGTGAAAACATTTAATAAAACAGCTTGGAGCGTGGGGGAATCGGTTCCCTCTCATAGGGAATCGGTTCCCTAAGTGTAAAATTCAAATATTTCGACCGTTGAACAGGGGGGAATCGGTACCCCCTTGGGGGAATCGGTTCCCTCCGAGCATTCTGGAAATCTCGGAGCCAAACCATTCAGGGGGGAATCGGTTCCTCCTATGGGGGGGAATCGGTTCCCTCTGAGCAATCTGGAATTTTTGGCTTTGAATTGGTTCGAAATACTTTGTAAAATTATTTTGAAATTGTTTTATGATTAAAACTTAATTTTACACTTAAGTAAGGATTAAAAATGATTTTTGAAATATTTGGAGTAATGTTTTGATATTCGAATAGTTATATCGAATATACTTAGAAAATCATTTGGAAAATCTTAAAATCCATTTAACTTAATTTGTTATATCGAAATATTAAAATGTTTCAACAATCTCCCCCTTTTTGATATAACAAAACATTTTAGTAATTTTAAGATTTTTTGAAATCAAGTTTTGAAATTACTCCCCCTTACTTTAACACTTCTTCAATTTATTATGTAAAACTCTTCTCCCCCTTTTTGTTAAATCAAAAAGACATTGTAAAACAAGGTTTTGAAATCATTTAGCCAATTGATTTATTAATTATAAGCTTAAACTGCTAAGATCACAATCAAAAGAGAGATTAGCCATCAATATTCATAAATAATGTGATATGGTAAAATTGGTCATATTGCTAATGATGATGTAAATGATGCAAAAATGAATAAAACACCAAACATATAAGTTCACACCATTCATAAATCCAAAATCCAACAATCCACAAAAATCAAATAATTCAAAATGTTGAAACAATATTCATTTTGTTCAAAGTTTTAAAGCTAAACATAAAATCAAGCATCCGGATCGGTAGGAGGAAAACGGGCTCGCATAGCAGCCATTTCATGAGTTAGTTCATTGATACGAGCATTGGTTGATTCATTGTTTGCACGCATCTCCCGAAGAATCTCTAATTGTTGAGCTCCCATTGTGGATAAATGAGACTCTATAGAGGAAAAGCGCGAGTCCATGGTAGCGTATCGGAAATCGAATGTCTCCATAAAGGATTGAAAATATGGAGGCATTTGATGCGTTTGTTGTGCTTGCTCCTCGGGCTGCTCTTCGGGCTGATCAGGCTCATCTTCGGCTTCATCGATATCTTGCATTAATTGCTCAAGCTCGGGATCTTCGTCAGCTTCGGGTGGA